CCGTCTAATGTTACTTCGGGTGTTTATGTGCACTATGGTGCATAGAAATTGATACCTGGCGCTGGATCAGGGGGATTTGGAGGTATACTAGAGGGAACTCCCCACGCGGAATCTGGAGTGCACCCGAGGCTGATGCTAACGCCGGATCCGTTCGTATTCGTACTGGTGGAACTCTGTGTGCACTGACCTGCGTTGTCTGCATCCTGCCCGCCTTGGGTGCCCTCAGGCGCATGGCCCTGGGGTGGTAGTGGTTGTTGCGGGGGTTGTTGTCCAGGTCCTGGTGCCTGACCTGGTCCTCGACCTGGGCTTTGTTCCGTGGATGCCGTGTCCCCTGCTTTCGGTGATGATGGTGCCGCAGGTGGCGGTTGTGGTACGGGTACTGTTGCTGATGTGACCCCGTTCTCTGCTGCTGAGCCATCTGATCGTGGTTGTCCTGTTGGTGGTGATGGAGTTCCCCCTGTACCTGTACCTGAAACTGCTGGTGATTGTGTGCTTGACGGTTGTGCTTGGTCCTTGTTCTTATCATCTGTTCCATTTGGCCCCGGCGCTGGACTCATTGGTTTAGCTAAGAAGGGGAAACAGAGAGGGTCGATGTTTGTTAAAACAAAGCGGAATGGATGAAAAAACAAAGAACAAAGGAGTGGTGGGTGAGTAGGGTATGGTCGCCTCGATGTTGGGTACGATGCAGTGGGTCGAGGTGCAATCGGTTGACTGGGTCGGCTGCATGGTGCAGTACACTTTTATTTGTCGGCGCCATCCCACTCCGGCCCTCGTCTACACGTCGTTGCCGCTGTCGCTGCCGTCGTCGCCGCGTGTGCGTGTTGTTGTGGTGGCGGCATCCATCCGCAGTCTTATCGGTAGCGGCCGTACTATTCGTATTCGTAGTCTTAGGAGTCGCACTGTTACCTGTCCTGTGCTTCATGTTCTCTTCTGCGTTCTGCTGCTCTTCATCGTCGTCGTCCTCTTCCTCGTCCGCAGATTCAACAGCACTATCCTCGGATCTCATGGCTCCCCCTGGTCTATTTCGTACCCTTCTGTGCTCCCTTGTTACTGTTTTGGTAATTGTCTTAAACATTTTTGTTACCTGCTGTTTTACTAACCCCTGCATATGTGTCTCCTGAAATATACTGGAAATGTCTGCATCTTGCCCTGTCTGTTGCATACGCCTCTTGTACTGTGCCCAGGGTATGTGGCATTGTGGGTTCTGCTCTATTTGTTTTATACTAGCACTTATCTTTGGACTTTTCTGTAACCATTTTTTTACCGCTTCCTGTAAGTTCCCTTTCCCTATTTTAATACCCGTATATATGTCTTGCGTACATGTTCCACTTGAAATTGGATTAGACGGGTCTTGGCTGCCCTCAGCAAACTCCTGCATGGTGTGCCATGCCCAGTCTGGTCCTAGCCACTGATATCCACACTTTATTTCAGCCAATATATACGCAAAAACATTGCCCACGAGGCACCTCATAATAGCCTTCATGGCCGTATCATTGTGCGATGGGTCGTTATCCTTTTTCAGTTGATTGCTCCACCCAGTTACAAAATGTAATGCTCCAACCATGAGTCTGCATTTCATGACATCCCCAACTGAATGATCGGTATATCTTGTTTGTTCGTGCTCGCGTCCTCTACGTGTCCAACCTGCAGCCTCACAGTTTGTGGCATACATTTCTAATCGGTCCTCTATTTTTTCCATGTAATCCACAAAATCCTTTAATACATTTTCCATATCTGCCCATAGTGCCTTCTACGAAATATATACATAGAGAAAATGATTAATATATAACAATATATCAACTCTATAGGACTCTACCTTGCTTTCCGTATGTGTTACCGCACATATATGTACCAACACTATATTCCGCCGCCCTTCGTCGCTGTGTCGTGCATTTCCTTGTTCTGAGTGAACACTTACATCAACCTGTCTCTGCTCCGATAGTTCCCTGGCTCGTACCCATTCGGCCATTACATTTACTAAGTGCCCGGCCATGGTGCATTACGTGCCATAATACAGGATATTAATGCTATGTGAGAATATTGTGCACATTATTCATATTCCGCCCTGATGCCGTGCACACCTGTGCCTCATGAATATGCTTATTACTATATTAGTGGGGAAAATCCGATCACACATATAATTTATATAAGGAAAATGCACAATACAGAATTGCACAGTACACAAACTGTTTACACTATTCTGATATTGTTTAGGAAAGAATAATATGCACAGAAACAAAAATTAGTAAAAAATTAAAGAGAGAAAAAAAAAAAAACAGGCAAGGAAAAAATAGGAAAAAGTACTACTACTACTACCGTTCACACACGCAACGCGTCATGAATACGCCTTTCTACACCGGTGTAGGCTACACCGCAGTATAACAACAACATCAATTTGCCCTACTCGCCGCGTCCTTGTTACTGGGCTACTTCGTCGAAGCGCGGTTACACTCGGACAAGGGCCTATACGCAGGCGCGTGTGGTCGGAGAGACAATGTCTCCCTCCGTTCTTACACTCGGTTACGTCGTCGAATCGGTCTTGCACCTTGCCGCGTTGGTCGACGCGTTTGCTCGGAGAGACAATGTCTTCCTCCTTTCTTACACTCGGACAATCCTGCGTCGAATACGTTCACCCGGCCACGTTTGCTCGGTCACGTTGCTCGGAGAGACAATCGTCCTCCTTTCTTACACTCGGCGACTTCGTCGAACTGCTTCACTCGGACAGTCGTGTTTACGCGGCCGCGTTTGCTCGGCGAGACAATCTCTCCTCCTTTCGTACACGCAGCTATTGCGTCGAATCCTTCGTACACTCGGCCGCGTTACTCGGCTACAATCCGTGTACCCGGCCGCTTTGGTCGACGCGTTTGCTCGGAGAGACAATGTGTACCTTCGTACACTCGTCTACTTCGTCGAATCCTTCTTACACTCGGCTACTTCGTCGAATCGGTCTTGCACGGGGCCGCGTGGGTGGACGCGGTTGCTCGCAGAGACAATGGTCCTCCTGCGTGCACGCGGCCGCTTTGGTCGACGCGGTTGCTCGGAGAGACAATCTCTGCTCGTTCTTACACGCGGCCGCGGTTGCTCGGCTATCTCGTGGACGCGTTTGCTCGGAGAGACAATGCTCCTCCTTTCTTACACTCGGCTACTTCGTCGAATCCTTCTTACACTTGGCCGCTTTGGTCGACGCGTTTGCTCGGAGAGACAATCTCTCCTCCTTCTTACACTCGGACAATCCTTCGTCGAATCGTTGTTACAATCGCCCGCGTGGGTCGACGCGGTTGCTCGGAGAGACAATCTCCTCCTCGTTCTTACACTCGGACACTCCTTCGTCGAATCGGTCTGACTCGGACAATCTCTGTTTACCCGGCCACGTTTGCTCGGAGAGACAATCTCCTCCTGGTTCTTACACTCGGACACTCCTTCGTCGAATCGGTCTTACACTCGGAGACAATGCCCGTTACGAAAGCGCGATGACGGCGACGCGGCACAGAAGCACCCTATACGCGAATGCGTAGTCGCATGCTATATGTGTGCTGCACGATACCCGTAGAATGCACGTGCGCAGCTTTTAATAATTAATTTCCCATAAAGGAGAATACTACCCCTTCATATTATTCATGTAAATGTACATGTTATATGCAGTTGACGTGTACCCACCTGTTCCTATGGGCATGTTAAAAGAAGTGGACTACACAGAAAAAGAACAAAACAAGGCAAAAGTAAACAGCAAGTAAGCACAAGCAAGCAGAACAGAGCGGAAAAAAAAAAAAAGAAGGTATGGAATAATGTAAACCAGAAATATATTATGTATATCACATAATGAAATAAAAGTGGTGTACGGTTAGCAGGCGTTATGCCGCATGCATGAGCGTCGTCATCCTAATTGCAGATGTTGTGCAATAGATCATCCACATATAACTCCTTCTCCTGCAAACTGCGATCGACTTCGCACTGTTCTAGGACTAATGCCAGGATCAGTATCCATATTTTAGCGGTTAACCATTTCGTCCTATATAGATCCGGATATAGGTCCTGCTGTTCGCGCTGTTTCACGCTGGGTGACGGTATATGTTCTTCATGGGGTACTTCTGGCATCAAGTGGGTGTCTTCCGTGTTTAGGCCGGATATGATGGCCGCTTGCACTGTGTCTTTGTTAGGTCCGGGCACTCGTTGCCCGTGTAATGTGTTTTCTTGTTCTATGTTACTCAATAGGTATTGGAACCACGCCTCCGCGTTATACATACACATTTGCCGATGTAGTTGCGCTATCCACTGTCTCCACAAGTCTAATTTCTTCCTGTGCATGGTTGCGGCTTTCCTGTGCTCACCGGATGCGTCGTTTGCCGCAATGTGCTCACGCAGGTATTGTTTCCATTCCGCCTTTAATTGCAAAAACCACGGCTGCGTCGTGCACTCCTGCAATAGGTGCTTGTTGCGGTCAATCCAGTTAATCCAATGGATGCAGTCCGAAGTCGCATGCCCGCGACCAGTAGAGGGACTCTGTGCTGTGTCTGTATGTATGTTTTCCATACAACTCCATGGATCGGGGTCATTCGGTGGAGAACTGTCCGTTGCTAACTGTATGTTTTCCATACAACGCCATGGATCGCAGTCATTAGGAGGACAATTGTCCGTTGCGAACTGTATAGTTTCCATACAACTACATGGATCGGGGTGGTGTTCATTCGGTGGACAAGGGTGCGTTTCTAACTGCATGGTTTCCATGCAACTCCATGGATCGGGGTCATTCGGTGGACAAGGGCCCGGTGCTAACGGTATAGTCTCCATACATGTCCATGGATCGGGGTCGTGTTCATGCGGTGGACATGGGTCCGTTTGTAATTGTATAGTTTCCATACAACTGCATTGGTCCTGTTCGTGAGGTGGACCAGGTTCCGTTGCTAACGGTATAGTTTCCATACAACTCCATGGATCGGGGTCATCTTCCTTAGGTCCACAAGGGTCCGTGGCTAACTGTATGGTTTCCATACAACTCCATGGATCGGGGTCATGTGGTGGACATGGATCTGTGCCGTCGGAATCGATCGGTAGATCCCGGTTTGTCGAATGCGCGGTTGTCACATCGCGGGTTGTCGAATCGTGGGTTGCTAAACCGTCGTCTGGGGTACAGACATCCGAGCTACTTGTACACATGTTGTTGCCCCCCATAAACTCGTGAACGAGTATGTGCAAATAGTCGTCTTTGACGTTTTCCCATTCGGTTGCTTCACATTCGTTGAGCACTTCTAAATGTAGCTCGATGATCGTGCGCTTATGCACGCGTGGTTGACGTCGTCGTCGGTCGGATGTTGACGAAGGTGGCCTAGCCCTAACCATGGTGTACCCGTAATCGGGTGGTGGCAGGTCGCCGCGTTGTAGATGTTGCAATATTTCTTCGTCGAGTGGCGGTGACGGCACGTCACGAACGGTTCGATATGTTCGTCGTCGTTTGGCGAGGTAGGCAAAATACTAAGCAGAAAAAGTGGGTAAAGAGCAGGGTGAGGACGGTACGATAAAAGGAATGAATACAGGTGTAGGAGTATATTGGTTATAACGATCATATATTGGTGCGCGTAGGTATGTTCTCACGTATAAACATCCTTCACATGCGGGATTCCGTGATTGCCGTATGTACTTACCTTCCAGAGGAAGAACGCAATGATCCCAATACCAACCACCGCGGGAATGATCGCGGGGGTGTAGGGGATAAGGTCGTCCCAGGTCCATGTAGGGATTTCGGCAGTAGCATGGATACTAGGATCATCCTTCTGTAAGTTGACATTCTCTTTCGCCTTTTCCAATGTTCCCGAGTCTTTGGCCTCAGGCCCTGAGACTGGTCCTGAGGAGGACCCTGTTTCCCCTGAGGGACCCGCAGGACCCTGAGGACCAATTTCCGGAGAACCGGGGGTACCGACACCCGGTACGCCTCCCACTCCAGGAACACCAGGTACAATGCCTGCAGCACCTGGGACGAGGCTACCATCACCAACGTCGGCACCGCCGCCTGGTCCTTCCCCACCAGAAACTCCATCCGCCAAATCAGCATCACTGAAACTGCCACTACTACCCGATTGATTTGGGTTCGGGTTCGGTTTTGGTGGCGGTGGTGGAGGTGGGGGGGGTTGTTGTCCAGGTCCTGGCCCTTGACTTGGTCCCTTGCCTCCTGCTCCTGCTGCGGCCGGTGCGGCTGATGCGGGTGCAGCCGGTGGTTCCGCTGCTGCGGCAGGCTGTGGTACACTGTTACTTTGTGTGCGATCTGCACGTGTAAAGTGAAGTAAAGGAGGGTGAAGGAAAACATGAGAACACTGAAGTTTGCGTTGGATGGTTGATTGCTCACACGATGCAACCGATCGTTGGATTCACCGTCCAGTCGCTGATAGTTCGTTGCCGTCGTTTAACTGATGACCCCGGCGGACGGGGGTAGGGTGCCACCCCGGGAAAAGACTCTCTCTGTCTGCCACACACAACACACAACACACTCACACAGTGTGTGTGTGCGTCTGCGTCTGTCGACGTCTACATCCCGCGGCGGCTTACTCGCTCGCCTGGCTTGCCCCGGCACGCTGTGCCGGTCAGTCTCATTCGACGTTTGGTTTCTCGCTCTCAGTGTTATCTCCGTGATGTCTCTCCCTCTCTCTCCGGAAATTGTTGTTTCTTGTTTTTTTTTTTTTTTGTGCTTCTAATGTTACTTCGGGTGTGTATTTGCACTATGGTGCATAGGAATTGTTACCTGGCGCTGGATCAGGGGGAGTCGGGAGTTTACTAGAGGGAACTCCTAAAGCTGCGTCTGAAGTACACCCGAAGCTTACGCTAACGCCGGATCCGTTTTTATTCGTACTGGTGGAACTCTCTGTGCACTTACCTGCTTTGTCTGCATCCTGCGGTGTTGGTGTTCCTGAGCCCGATGCCGACGATGATTGTGATGGTGGTGGTGCCGCAGGTGGGGGTTGTGGTATGGATGCCGGTGCGGCATCATCGGACCTGGCCACTCCCTCTTCCCCTGTCCCTTTTGTCGGTCCTTTCTTCTCAGGAACAACCTCCTTTGGTGCCTCTGGTACCTTAACTGGTGGTACTTCTGGTGTCGTCGTTACTACCTGCCCGTTACTGCTGTCTTCTTTCTTTTTGTTCTTGTCCGTCCCCGCTACAAAAAGGAGAAATATGGTAGAAACATGATAACAACAGAGGACACAAGTGGTACAGAAAGAAGGGGGCCGGGACGGTGCGGTCAGCTAGCGGCACGGTAGGTCGGCTGCATGGATCGAGATGGACTGCGATGGACTGCGTCAGGCGACAGCAAGCGCACGGTGAGGTGGACTGCGTACGCGGTGAACTTGGGCTAGATGGTAGCAGTACAAGTTTTATTTCTCGACGTCCCGTTCCGCTCGTCTGCGTCCCTCGCCTCCGATATCGCTGCCGTGGCCACTCATCTCCGTCCGCGCCGCTACCACTGCCGTCGTGGCCGCTCCACTCGGCAAGTGTACGTTGAGCGAAGTGGTGCTACGAAGTCGTTTGCTGTGCTGTTCTCGCCGCGTGCGTGTATTGTGTGGCGCCGTCCATGAGCAGTCGTACGGTACGTAGAGAGCGTGCCGTATTCGTGCTTGCTCTCATCGGTCTTACCTGCCGCTACTGTTTGTGCTGGTTTACCGCTGTCGACAGGGTTATGTTCTATGGCCTTACTGTCGGCATCCTCCGGATCGCTACGGGAGACAGCGTCGATAGACTGCATGCATGCTCCAGGTGTCTGCTCGCATGTCTCTACCGCCGTCTTCACCCCGTCAACAAGTGTCTTCATCCCCTTGCCTAATGTCTCTATAACTGACTTTTCCGCGTGCGTGAGCTCAATCTTTGCATTAGATTCCTTTGTACCCGTTTCTTTGCGCCCATTTCCTGCTAATGTGTTCTTACATGTACTGTGTATGTCGGGACCAGCAAATGTGTCCCTCAATGTCGTATTGTCCTGTAACCATGCCCTAATCCTTTTCCCCATGTCGAATTCCTCGCTGTGTATGTTTTCAAACTCTCCCCGCTTGCAGTTTCCCGTTGTAATGTGGCCACTCCAACCTTTTTCCAGCTTTTTCACAACCTCCCATGCATAATATATACCCATGTCACTTTTGCATGCAGATTCGTTCAATATGTACATAAATATATTTACTATTGCGAATCTTATATGTTCCTTCAACGCGTCATTATGATCTTCGGTATTGTGCGAACCGCCGGACTGCGTACGCGGCGCATTCATAAAAAATATTGCTCGTGTCATCAGTCTGCACATAATTCTGTCGCCCGCTTTAGCTACGAGCGGTCTTTTTGCCTTTGGCGGATATGTGTAACCGTGGTTTAAACAATTAGCTGCAAGGGTGTCTAGTTCCTCGTTCTGCATATATTTCACAAACTGTTCGAGTAGCGCTTTTATATCTGTCCATATGAATTCCTGTATGGCGCATAAGGAATATATATGTGTGTGCATAAGTGGCCACACTAGCGTTCTCGTCCATATTCATATGTTCCCATGCCTGGGTGCGTACTTCGCGTGCGGTATGTGCGCATTGTATGATTAATAGGGAATTAGTGCACGCTCGCATGCGCACAATTATATATACAGGCATGTATACATACTATCATATATAGAGGCGGTTATAATTACACCGCCGTGCCAGGTCTTAATCTTAATAAAATACCTTATAGTCCGCCGTCTTGCCCTGCAGACGCCTCGATAGTACATAATGTGCTAATAAAGCCCCTAACTTCTGATACGACATATTGTCACAACCATAAACCAATATAATGAAACGAATGATATCATTATGTCTCAGATAACAGCTTGAATATAATATGGACACAATATTCTGTTACTTAGTATTCAGATTTGTAGCGAATGGAACATGTCTTGCAGTATAGGGTCCCTGCGGAAGCATGTCCCATGAACAAAATACCGCTATCTGAATTTAATCACACATCCTACAAAGCGCGGGATTTGGAAGAAGGAAAAAAAGAAATGAAAAAAGGGGAACAAGAAAAAAAAAGTGAACGAAAAAAAACATAGTCCTACAAATTCATAACAACATGCTCTACACAATACAGACCAGACGTTCTCTCGGGTCCACACATGAACTTGCTCCACCGTAAAGAATAATCAAAAAGCAAAACAAAAAGAGCAAAAGGGAAAAGAGAAAACAAAAGAAAAAGGAAGGAAAAAAAAAAAAAGTACTACTACACTACCGTTCACACGCAACGCGTCATGAATAGGCCTTTCTACACCGGTGTCCACTAAACGCCGTGACACGCACTGTCTCTGCGTACACCTCAAAACCGCAGTAATAACAACAACATCAAATACTTCGTCCGTCCTTGCCGCCGTCGTGGCAGCCGTCCGGCTGCGTTCCTGCTGTTGAAGAAAGGGGGGAAAAAAGTATTACTACACTACCCTACACACACAACACGTCATGAATAATACCCCCTCCCCCCTTTCTACACCGGTCTCCACTAAACGCCTGGCACACACACACTGTCTGTCTGTGCGTGTACACCTAAAAACCGCAGTAATAACAACAACATAAATTCTTCTGCCGTCGTTGTCGCCGTTGTTGCGGCCCGTGTGGATCCCATAAAATTTGTGTGTTCCTTCGCTCTGCGCCCCCGCACTGTCTGCTCCCTCGAATCCGTTTTTTGGGACCCCTTGCTCGGAGACAATCTCTCCCTCCGTTCTTACACGCGGCTACTTCCCTCGAACCGCTTGCTCGAAGCTTCTTACGCGGCTGCTGTGGTCGACGAGTTTGCTCGGAGAGACAATCTCTCCCTCCTTTCTTGCACTCGGCACAATGCTTACTCGGGTACTTCGTCGAATCGTTGTTACAATCGGCCGCGTTGTTCGACGCGTGGTTACACTTGGCCGCGTTGGTCGACGCGTGGTTACACTCGGCTACAATGCGGTTTACGCGGCCTGCGTTGCTCGGAGAGACAAGCTCTCCTTATACTCGAATGCTTAGTCGCATGCTATATTTGTTCTGCACTATACCCTTAGAATGCACGTGCGCATGTTGTAATAATTAACTTCACATAAAGGAGAATACTACCCGTTCATATTATTCATTTAAATCTACGTTTTGTTATGCATGTAAGCTGTACCCACCCTGTTCCTATGGTCATGTTAAAAGAAGTTGACTACACAACAAGAAACAAACAAGGCAAAAGTAAGCACAAGTAAGCAGAAGAGAGCAGAAAAAAAAAAAGAAGGTATAGAATAATGTAAACGCGAAATATATTAAGTATATCACATAATGAAATAAAAGTGGTGTACGGTCAGCATGCGTTATGTCGCATTCATATGCCCCGTCATACTAATGTCACAGTTGCTGCAATAGATCATCCACATACAACTCCTTCTCCTGCAAACGACATTCGATTTCGCACTGTTCTATGACTAATGCCAGGATCAGTATCCATATGTTAGCGGTTAACGGTTTTTTCATGTAAGATTGCTGATGCAGTGGTTGGGACCGTGGTACATCTCGCACTTGTAGCATGTCTGCTGCTGCTGTTACTATTTGCATGTTTAAGTCTGTTTCCACTCCAGGTACTTCGCCGTTTTGCGATTCTGTCGCCGCGTCTACATTATTCAACAACTGTTGAAACCACTGCGCCTCACAATACATACGCATTTGCCGATGTTGTTGCGCTACCCATTGTCTCCACAAGTCCAATTTCGTCCTTTCCATGGTTGCAGCTGTCCTGTGCTCACCGGATGGTGCGGTTGCCACCATGTGCTGACGCACGTATTGTTTCCAATCCGCTTTTAATTGCAGAAACCACGGCTGTGTCGTGCACGCCCGCAAGAGGTGCTTGTTGCGGTCAATCCAGTTAATCCAATGGGTGTGCCAGTGGTGGGCCCGCATTTCACGTATCGCTGCTGGTTGTGAACGACTCTGTTCGGCATGTAACTGTATGGTTTCCATACACTTCCATGGATCGGGGTCGTCCTCATTCGGTGCACAAGGGCCCTGTTCTAACCGTATGGTTTCCATACAACTCCATGGATCGGGGTCATGTGGTGGACATGGATCTGTGCCGTCGGAATCGATCGGTAGATCCCGGTTTGTCGAATGCGCGGTTGTCACATCGCGGGTTGTCGAATCGTGGGTTGCTAAACCGTCGTCTGGGGTACAGACATCCGAGCTACTTGTACACATGTTGTTGCCCCCCATAAACTCTTCAACGAGTATTTGCAAATAGTCGTCTTTGACGTTTTCCCATGCGGCCGCGTCGCATTCGTTGAGCACTTCTAGATGTAGGTCGATGATGGTGCGTTTATGCACGCGTGGATGACGTCGTCCGCGGCGGCCGGCAGCAGACGCAGGTTGCCTATCCCTAATCATGGTGTACCCGTAATCGGGTGGCGGCTCGCCGCGTTGTAGATGTTGCAATATTTCTTCGTCGAGTGGCGGTGACGGCACGTCACGAACGGTTCGAAACTGTCGTCGGCGTTTGGCGAGGTACGCAAAATACTAAACAGAAAAAGGGGGGTAAAGAGTAGGGTGAGGACGGTAGGATAAAAGGAATGCACGCAGGTGTAGGAGTATATGGATTAGAACTATCATGTATTGGTGCGCGTAAGGATGGTCTGAGGTATAAACATCCTGCACGTGCGGCATTCCCTGATTGCCGTATGTACTTACCTTCCAGAGGAAGAACGCAATAAGCCCAATGCCAACCACCGCGGGAATGATCGCGGGGGTATAAGGGATGAGATCCTGGGGGTCGAAGGGTTTCGAGGGAAGAGGGAGCATGGATTGATCTGGCTGATTGGTGTCTGAACTGGTGCCACTGGAAGGAGGGGAACCACGTGCTCCACCACCGGCACCTGCTGCACCACGGGCACTACCACCACCACTACTACCAGCTGCTTGGGCGCCACCAGCGCTACTGCCTGCTGCGCCTGGACTTCCGCTACCGGCGCTTCCAGCATCCTTTTGACCACCCCCACCTCCCTTTGCTTCCCCAGCAGAAACTCCATCCGCCAAATCAGCATCACTTAAACTGCCACTACTACCCGATTGATTTGGGTTCGGATTCGGTTTGGGTTTGGGTTGATCCGGGGGTGGATGATACTTGTCGGCAGGACACTTGTCACCAGTAAGGCCAGGTAAGCAGACGCCGTAAGGGTTTAAAGTGTTGTGGGACCCCACTGATTTGGATTCTGGAGTTGGATCATCATGCGCAGAGGGTTTCTTGACGTCAACCTCTTGCTTACTTGGAGGTGCCACGTGCACGCTGTAACAGGGTTTAGGGTTCAGGGTTCAGGGTTTAGGGTTCAGGGTTCAGGGTTTAGGGTT